TATCATAAAATTATAAAATTATTATTATATGATTGTTGATAATTTAATTTAATAAAATAATAGATAGATTTACAATTAAAAAGAATTAAATAAAATAGATTAACATTTTATATATATTATACTTAATATATATAATATTATAATATATTATAATATTTTATATATATATTTTTTTAAATATTATATTTACCTACCACATATTGTGGATATTCAAACATATATGTCATATCACAAGTATTTTCTTCAAAATCCGTAATATAACGAACAACTCCAAGTATGTAGAATAAAAGAAACAACATTAAAAATAAAAAAAATATAATATAAAATAATACAGATTTTATTTGAAGCATTTTTTAAATAGTAATCTAACATTAAAATCAAATTTTAATTAATTTCAATACTCAATGTAGTTTTTTGATATAAAAACTTGATTATCAATTGTTATATTTAATATAATTAAACAATAATTATATTGTGACATAAAAAAATAAAAAAAATTAGATATAAGAAAAATATAATTGATAAAAATAAACAATTTATTTAAATTTCATAGTAAGGTTATAACACATGAAATACATAGCATATTGAAATCACTAGCGCGATATGATATATTAAAAAATTATATTTTTATCCGAGTTTGAATGAGACTGTATCAAAGTGATCGAAAGTTGTCTGAAAGAAAAAGTTATATAGAACAAAGATTAAATCATTTTAGATATTAAAACAATTATAGAAAAGGAAAATTTTTAAAAGAAACATTTCCTACTCTTTTTTAAGGAGATTCTCTTTTCAAGTATTTATAATAAAAGATTTTTATTAAAGGAAAAAACGATTATATATTAGTTATTAAAATTAACATTTTCTACATTATATTTACAAATTAAGTTTAAATTAATTTATTAATATAAAATAAATACATGATATTTTCAATAATATAATAAAATAGAATAATAAAATAAATCACATATTTAGTATAAAAATCTTATAACCTACATAAATAATTTTTTAAAAAAATATGTTCAACTTAATAATTTTATTAATTTATCAATTTAGCAACTATTTACATAATAAGTACTTAAAAATGGTAGCAGCTATATGATATGTCTGATATGATACAATAAAGAAATTATCACTATAAAATAAAATAAAATAATATAATTTCAAATTTTTTAAAATGATTGTTTCATAACATATTTATTTTTATCATCTAACAACTACTACATTATTTAATTCAAAATTATTTTAATATTTCGTATATTTATAAATCTTATTATATATACGAAAATTAATGAAAATATATAATAAAATCCCTTCATTAATTATTTTATTGATTGTGATTTATGCACATGTTTAACAAATATTCTATAAAAATGAATGAAGAAATTATTTGTGAGAATGTCATGAACTTTAAAGTGAAAGGTATTGGTATTATATTACAACATTAATGAAGTATATCTATCCATAACACTATGTGAAATGTTTCACTTATTTTTATCATATTTGTATTATTTGCAATACATATGGTTATAAAAGAAATGAAACAAAATAAAGCATTATAAACAANTATATATATATATATATATATATATATATATATATATATATTATGGTTTTATGAAAATTGAAATAAGATAAGAAAGCTTAAAACAATATTTTTTAACTCCATATGTTTAAAATATTTATTTATTATTTGTGATTTGCAGAATATATAATTATAAAATAATAAAAACAAATTTTTATTATGTATTTTTTAATGATTTTTAATTGTTAAAATATTTCAATAATATTATAACAAGATTTATTAAAATAATTATTTTAACAAATAATAATTAAAAAATTTTTGTAATAAATTTTTAAATATTATATTTTCTGAATATTTAGTAAAAAAAATTATGATTATATTAGAATTTTTTTTAGCATATGGTAGTTAAAAATTATTAATTTTCATTATTATAAAAATGAAAATATATTTAATCTGTAGCATCTTCTTTTGATACACTGAAAGGATTTGCTACTACTTCTGCACCACAATCAGCAATTACAACATCTTTTATTGGTCTATCTCGTGTATCAGTATTTACATTTTCAATTTTTCTTACTACATCCTGTATAAAATTATTTTCGTAATAAATATTTAAAAAATAAGATGATAAATTATATTTAAATAATATATAAATATAATATAAATAATATAAATTTATATTTTAAATTTAATTATATTTAAATAATTACATACCATTCCTTTAATTACTTTGCCAAATACAACATGTCTACCATCAAGCCATGGAGTTTGTTTTACAGTAATAAAAAACTGAGAACCATTAGTATCTTTTCCAGCATTTGCCATAGATAACCACCCAGCACCATAATGATTCAATTTGAAGTTTTCATCTTTAAAACGACTACCATAAATACTATGTCCTGATGGATAAAATTATAATAAAATGTATTAAACAAATTGTTAAATATTTCAAATATTATAAATATTTTAATTATTTAAAATTTTTTTTAAATTTATTGTTACAATTTCATATTAAAAAATATATATAGAAATAAATAATAAATAAATAATATCATAATATCATATAATTCAAACCTCCAGTTCCATCTCCTTTTGTAAAATCTCCTCCTTGAATCATAAATTCACTAATGACTCTATGAAATTTACTACCCTTATATCCTTCTCCTTGAGGTTTTTTAGATAATTCAATGAAATTTTCAACTGTTTTTGGAACTGTTTTTCCAAAAAGTCCAATTTCAATTCTTCCTTCATATTTACCATCAATATTAATATCAAACCATACCTACATATGTAGATTTTGTTATATTTAATTTCACAACATATAAAATTAAATTATAATCATATAATCACAAAT